TTATTATTATTATTATTATTATTATTATTATTATTTTCAGAACTGGGGGTTGAATTCAGGCCCTTGTGCTTGTCAGGCAAGTGCTTATGCTCCTGAGCCATCTGCCTGGCCCTGACCACTTTACTTTTATCTCAAAGACATTTTGTAATCTGGATGATCTCGAAGTTCAGTACTTGTCTTTCACATTACCTTTACTTATTTCTGTCTCTGCTGCACACATGACCAGATGGTTAAAAGGGAAAACTGAAATATTAATGTTAAGTGAGCATAGATTCCTTTTACTAATTAGCATGCTTTCTAACTAGCCAAGAAATGGATATTCAAAGAACACACTTGGGCTACATATAAATAACAAGAAATTAAATTAGGGATTTGAAGACTGAGCTAAATTGTACTCCTAAAATATTAAATTTTCATTTTAAAAATCCCATTATTTTAGAGTTTATCATGATAAACTGAGGATCTTGGCCTAATTTTGAACACCAGCACAATGTTAATCTAATAGGCTAATTTTATTTATTCTTTAAAAATATATTTAGTGGGAGCCGGGGAGATGGCTCAGTAGAATAAGCGCTTCCCTGGCAAGCACAAGGACCTGAGTTCAATCCCCAGTTCCGCAAAAAAAAAAAAAAATTATTCTCCTGTTGTCAACCTCCCAAGATTACAGGCGCATATGCCACCACCCCCAGTCTCAGTTGCTATCTCAGCATGACCCCAGGGGCGGGCCTGCACAGCAAGCAGGGAATTGAACCCTGGATGCCTAAGCAGGCACTTTACTCCACTAAGCTATCTGGATAGCCCTAATAGGGTGATTTTAATAGGCCAATTTTCAACCCATTCTTTGGACATACTTCTTTGACTATTACTGGATGAAAGAAAATATAGAGTAGCTATACTGATTTTAAAGACTTTAATATTTATTTTTGGCAGAACTGGGGATTGAACTCAGGCCCTTGCATTTGCCAGGGAAGTGCTTATTCCACTGAGCCATCTCCCCGGCCCCCAGACTTTAATATTTTAATTTGTCATTAAAGAGAAGTCATTATGCTTCCATGTCATTTTCAATGTTTCATTTTATAGCTAATATTAAAAATAGTAGAATAATATGCATGTGAATGTAAATATGTAAATACAGTGTACTTATATATAAAGTATACCTCTAGTTATTTTCAAAGTTAGAGTTAAATAGTAAATAATGATGTTTTTAAAAATGTGCAATTTACCTATCATCATAATATGTTCATTCAGAGAACACATGAACATCTATCTGTTGGAGATTTTACTTAACTCATTGATAATGAATAAACCAGCAAGATGTTCTAAAGGAGAGGTCATAAAGATAGTCAAAGGAGAATTCATAGTACATGTGGCAACACATACTGGCAGATAGAGTGCCAAAATGAGTTTATTGATAGATATGAAATGAACCAATAGAGAAACACACATTTCTCATAGGCATAGTAATTGCATTTCCATGGACAAAAACAATTCTGCATCATTGTTGGTTTCTTACAATCTACAGAGCTCTGAAATAGCTCAAACAGTAAATGTGCACTTACCTAAATCGATGCTCATGTGGATGTTGGTGGTCTTTCCCCACTTCAAAGTCTTTCACAATAGTCTTGGCTCAACTCTACTAACTCTCGATTCTTTGAAAATGTTTCTTTTCATAAGATTTAGTGAAGTAAATTATGCATTTGAAGACTGAGCTAGGCTGTACTTTGTAATGCCATTCATAAAGACTTTTGGCATATATATTTGATAATTAAATTTTGGGTGATACTTAAACACACTCTCATACTCTTTAAAATCTTTAGAAGGAGCAACATGTTCAGTCATGTGTTATCACACTAAATGAAACTTTTTTTAAATTAATTTTATTGAGAAACAAATAGCAATGAGACAGTTTCAGAACAGGTGAGTAGGACAGTTGCATAATTGATACATTATAAATTGTTGCCTTCATAGTAGTTATTCAGAGTACAAGATGCAGACATGATATCCTGTTCAAATACTATTAGTACAAATCTTTCTTCTCATTGAACTAAGAGAAAGTAGCTGTATAACTATTTTAACTATTTTTAAGTGTTAGTTTGATTAAATCTATGATGTATAATACATAAATTAAAATGTAACAGTATTGTAAATTAAAAAAATTTAAAATATGTTTGCTGAAAAATTGTAATACAAACTCAGATATGTGGGGCAATAAAAGGAAACATTTTATACCAGGGGGAAAAAAGAAATCTTTTCACTACAGGAAAGTGGTAATTTTTTCTCAGTGATGTATAAACCCATAAATACTTTTCTAGTTCATTCAGTAATCTTAAAAATTATTCTGAAGTTTTTATGAAGTTCATAATTAGAATTGTCCTTGACGAATGCTCTTTCCTATAGGTGCTGGACTAAATGATGGGCAGTGGCATTCTGTGTCCTTCTCTGCTAACTCGAGCCACATGGGTGTGGTGCTGGATGGTGAGGCAGCTGGGCAGCCCCTGGTGGCTGTGCCAATTGCTTCAGGCAGTACCTATCACTTTGGAGGTAAGCAAGGCAGCTCGCCCACACCGGTGTGGGGACCCTTGCCTTCTTTGTTGTGTCTCTGGTGAAATTTAAATTAATACTAAGAAATGATTTATCTCCTTTTATGAAGTAATTATATTTGAGATTTTAATGAATATTCAAAAAGTTTAATTGTTCTAATATAAAATATAAAGAGTTGCAGAAAATTTACATGTGGTTGAAGTAACTTCATAATTCCACTCAACATTGAAAGAAAATACACTTTGGCTACATATAAATAATAAGAAATTAAGTGTCATAATTACATCTCTCTAACAAGTATTTGAAATATTTAGCAGCTTCCTATTGGTTTAAGTCACTGACTTACATAAAAACTTATTTATACGTTTTAATCTACGAAATTGAATCATTAGTACACAGCTCATTTTATAGATAAATGGATTTTTTTAAAGAAGGGAGTAATAGGAAGTATCAGAGTAACTGTAAAGATCTTTGCAAACATTGGAAATAGTAAAAGAATTAATAGGAGATAAGCACATTAAATGAATCTATACTAGAAACCGATGCTACATTGGCAGAAAGACTAATAACAGAGGAGAAAAGCAAAGGACTAAATTTTTATGTTCTCTTAAAATATGTATATTGAAAACCTAGCCCTTAAGGGGTTTGCATCAGGAGTCTCTGTAGAGTGTGGTTGCCTCTATGACTTAATAATCATGAGATTCTCAGTGGACTTAGTGCCTTTCATAAGGGAGACTCCAGAAAACTCTCTTTCCTGCTCTGTGAGGATACATCAAGCAGGTGGCCCTTTATGAGCGAGGAAGCAGAATCTCACCAGGATCTAAATCTCCCTGAGGAGAATGGACATTATACTATACCTTCCCGCCTCTAGAAGTGTGATAACTATTTGTTGTTTAAGTTTCAGGAATAATAACTTCTCTATAATTGTTAGTAAGGAGACGTTTCAGGCCTGTGGTATTCTGTTATAGCAGCCTGAACTGCCGAAGACACCTTATATGGCTAAAGAAATAGAAACAGGTTGAATTTTTGATTGGGAGGAAAATTTGGCAATTTTCTTAGAAGACGCACTAGAAAAATAAGCAGAAGCTTGCCATGGATGCTAGAAAGCTTCTGGGAGACATTTCGGGAGTCCGAAGTGGAGCTTATGTGCCTAGGAAACCAAGTTAAACGTCCATGTGAGGAAAGTATCACAGCAGAGGAGGGACACGAAAGTGCATTCCGCATTCTCACCTTCTGCATCACCACATGTAGGAGAGAACAAGTCTTCGATTATATAAGAAGCCCCATGATGAATTTACAGACACACACACACAGAGACAGGCAGGCACACACACGTGCACACGCGCACACACACACAAACCACTTTACCCTATACACTTAGTGAAAACCTAAACACTCATGTGTCACTGTGTAATTCAGTTATGGATAATCTTTGCTGGAAATCACAATATATTTATCCTTTTTTCCGTGTCCCAGTACGTGTGTGCACTGCTTAGGATGGAACCTCGGGTCTCGTGCATAGTAGTCAAGTGCTCCAAAGTTGAGCCATTCCCCTAACTCAGCCCTCTTCTTTAATATAATGAAAAAGAAATATAAATCCAGTTAAAAATCTTTTTTAGATGTAATTCCATACATTGTCTTCTACCTCATCATTATTTGTGGTATTTCACATAAAATATGTACATGTCCAAGTATGTAACGTCACATATTCAAAGGCTTCCCTGAGCTGTTCTTTGTTGTGCAGTGTGTATTTACATTGTTAAAGCAAATTAATTTGCCCTCACAAATTGCTAAGCAAAGCCAGGCCTCATAAGTGAACCTAATCTTGCTTGAGTTGCAAACAGAAGTTGAACTTGAGCTACTTTTTATGAATTCCTACATTAAAGAAAAATCAAACTAGAAGCAAGTCAGTCAGAAGCTACCACTTAACTTACAGAACTAGGGAATTTCCACAAAACTACCTAATATGGCAATTATATAACTGAAGGTAGCCAAATATATATATCTACATATCTACATATCTATGTCTATATATATATATATATATATATATATATATAATTTTTTCTTGTGTACTTTTCTGTGTTTGTCCCTATAAATCTCAGCCTCTTCCATTCTTTTGGTGGAGCCCTTGGACCTGTTCTCTTATGGACAGTGCCAGCCATTCATGAATCATGGTTAGCCGAAGTACTTTATTGTGTCTCAATTTGCTTTTTAATAATTGTACACTTATATCTCTAGTTAGGTGCTGTTCTACTCTAGGCATATACAAAGTAAAACTGAAGGGCTTAAGGATTTAAAGATTTCAAGAAGCTAAGTTGATTTATTTTTATGAATGATAATGAATGGGGAGAGAGAGAGAGAAACAAAGAGACAGAGAGACCAAAAAACAGACAGAGACAGACAGAGACATTGAGACAGAGAAAGATGGAGAGAGAGAGAAACACAGAGACAGAGAGAGAAAAAAAGAATGTAGTTTTTCATGCCAACTTTTTCCACAGAGCAGTCCACTTTAGGAATAACTTTTCCAAAATTGCTAGTGATCTGAGAAATGTCATATGCTGAGGATGATGCTGAAATAAGGATTTCTGAAATCCTTATAAAATCCTCTTATATCTGCTCTCAGCATATGTGATACTAACAAACAATTATCTCTACTCCAAGTTTGTTTGTTTTTTTGTTTGTTTGTTTGTTTGTTTTTTGGTTTTTTTTTTGTGGAACCGGGGATTTGAACTCAGGCCCTTGCGTTTGCCAGGCAAGCACCTATTCTACTGAGCCTCTCCTCGGCCCCTCTACTGCAAGTTTTCTAAACCAAATGCAAACTAGTAAACAGCAGAGATAGTCTTTATTAGAATGTGGACTAAAATTCATATGATGGAAACACATGATGAAGTTGGCTCCACACAGCTTTTTTTCCCCAAGTTTATATTTGTAATCCCATGGGAAAGCTATTAGAATTCTAGTGAGTTAATTCCAATCTACCACTTCCAGTGTAACCAAGAGGGAGAATAAAGACACTAAGGCATATTTGTAGCTATGTGGAACCAAGGGATCCTAAGTCCAGCCATGAGGATGGCTATCCAGAACAGAGGCCTCAACCTTGGGCCAAACCTGGGTTTTATGAAGTTGTGAAGAAGGGAGTGGCTTGAGGATGAGTGAGTGAGAATTTTAGGAAATAGGTGAGCGCAGTGAGCTGCGCTAGGTAAGAGGTCTTAAATCATCCCCGCAACATGCAGAGAGAAGGCTATGCAGAAAGAGTAACCTACATAGCACAACTGAGGTAGTTTCTAATGTTTTGGGACCTGTGTTTCAGCTCTGATGTGTAGCCTTTCAACCCTGGGAAGTCATAGAGGCTGATCCCAGTCAACAGTGTAGAGCACTGGCTCCTTATGCTGCCTCCCCGTGGCTCACACACGGGGAAAATGGGGGATCTGGGGAAACACTGCGTGTCATCTTTGCTTCAGTGACTACCATTAGCACTCCGGCTGGACTGATATGCATTAATTAAAGCCAATTGAGGGGATAAGAAAAGTCCTAACCAGCTCTGTACATATGGATACTAGGAAATCAGGTCAGGTTTAGCCAAAATGGAGACAATTGCTCTCCTTCAAGGAGAGTCACCCAGGTGGTCCTCTACACTCACAAGTGAAACAGATCTGGGAAGAAACTGAAACAATTAAGGGAAAATATGGAGCATGGTACTTTTGGAGAATGTATGTTAATATACGTATATGTTTCTTTGAGAAAACACTTGATAATGCCTCTAAACACAAACATATAAAAGCATATTCCCTATACAAACGAATATATAATATTTTATGGTAGGAAACTAATTCCAAAAGATGTCCTAATTGCTAGAACCTGAAACCTGGGCTTTTTACATAAAGAACTTTGTACTGCAGGCACAGGGACTGGGGTTCAATCCCCGGTATGCTGTGCCAGCCCCACCCCCAGGGCACACTGAGACAGTGAGTGGGCCTGGGCCTGGTGGAGCTTGTCTGTAATCCCAGTGTTTGGGAGGCTGAAAGCAAAAAGATCACTGTGAGTCTCAGCTACATAGTGAGACCCTGTAGACCCTGTACTAAATACATAAAAAATAAAAGAACTTTGTACTATAATGAAGATCATAGGCATTAGCATGGGGTGAAGATCCTGAATTACTGGGTTCAGTCCACTGACACAAGAGAAGAGTGACAGAGAGGCAACTGGGGCGATTAGCAACGGAAGAATGTCTTCGTTAATGATGGACTAGAAGATGGACTGGGAAATGTGCCTAAGAAGGCAGACAGCCTAAAAGGGTTAAGCAGAACCTCATTCCCTCTACCATGAGGAGCTGAATTCTCCAAATCCCCAGATACTCCTGGGAGTTTATTGCCCTCCCCCTCCCCTAGACCTTCTATTTAAGAGCCCAGACTTACTGTCACCTTGATTTTGCCTTGTGAGATTTTAAATGGAATAATTGGTCTTGTCCACCCACACTTCTAAACTGAGATGATGAATGAGATTGTTTGATGCCTCCACCTTTGTAGTATTGTGTTACAGCAAAAATGAAAAACAGATACACAGTTCAACTTCCATCTGAATCTTCCTTTATTCACATTCTTATTCAGTTCAAAACACTGGCCAATGGCCAGCTGAAAAAGTTTTCTCAAACACACCCTGACAATATGTTGAAAAATATCCACAGAGATACAAGAAAGTTAGTTTCAACAGAAATACAAAATGCCAGAGGCAATTTTTAGTGTTTTCTTTTGTTTAGAGTACCCATGATCTCAAGGCTAAAGTAACATACATGACCATGAATCATATGCCAAACAAAGGGATAGACATACTAAGCTGACCCAGACAATACATACACATATATCCTATGGACTGCACAATCACTATTCTCAAATTTTGAGAAGTATCAAGAACCTGTGGAATATAGGAATATGGCAACAACCACCTAAATACGCTTGTGCACAGGTAATATTGTTCTTGTTTCAGAGATGAATTATTTT